GGGGAAACCAGCTCAACTTGTACAAGGAAAGGTCATGGAAGCTCCATAGACACATCCAAACTCCCTGAGGGACTGAATTGCTGGGTGGAGGGTGATGGGGACCATGGTCTCGGGAAACATCTAGCTCAATTGGCATAACACAATTTATAAAGAGAATGTTCTACATTCTACCTTGGTGAGTAGCGTCTGGGGTCTTAAAAGCCTGTGAGCAGCCATCTAAGATACTCTACTGGTCTCATCCCTTCGTGAGCAAGGGATAATGAAGAGAACAGGATACAAGGATAATGAACCACAGCTACCAAGGCCTCCACCAGACTGAGTCCAGTACAGCTAGATGGTGCCCAGCTACCACCACTAACTGCTCTGACAGGGATCACAACAGAGGATTCTGGACAAAGCTGGAGAAGGATGTAGAACAAAATTCTAACACACACACAAAAAAAGACCAGATTTACTGGCCTAAAGGAGACTGGAGAAACCCCGAGAGTATGGACCCTAGACACCCTTTTACCTCAGTGGTGAAGTCACTTCTGAGGTTCACCGTTCAGCCGGGGAGTGGACAGCCCCATAAAACCAAATGGGACTAATGAGGCACAGCAAGGGCCAGAAGGCAGAAGGGGATGGGAAAGCTGGTGATAGGAAACCCAAGGTTGAGTAAGGATAGTGTTGATGTGTTGTGAGGTTGTTAACCATTGACATAGGGCAACATGTGTACTAACTGTTTAATGAGAAACTATTTTGTTTTGTAAACCTTCATCTAAAGTAAGAATAGCAGCACAATCGGAAGAGTGTAGTCAGTGACACTGAACTGTGTATGTAGAAATTTTTGAAATGGTGTATCTTGGCAGAGGGTTGACATGTCATGGGGTTGTTAACCAATGTCATAAAACAATATGTGTACTACTGTTTCATGAGAAACTATCTGTTCTGTAAACCTTCACCTGAAGTACAATTAAAAAAAAAAATTTTTTTTTAAAAAAGGATGTTTTTCAAAAGTCCCCCAATAGACTTTAAGTTAACTACTCTAGCAAACCACTGAAAAAAATGAAAGATTATAAATACAATGGCATATAACACATTATTGTATGTTTTATTTTTAAGTAAAAAATGAATCACAGCCAAAACATTTTGTTTCTCAATAGTATTTTAAGCGGGAGAGTCATTTATGATAAACATATTTTCATTTTTCAGTTTTATAAAGATTTTAATTAAGCTTCATAGTCACTGAGTAGTTTTTAAATTAGGCTTCATGATTCTTTCGACTTCATGCTTTTAAATGGGGTCATTTATCTTCAAAACATGACAAATTTCCGAAACCATTAAAAATTATTTTATTCAAATTATGTTTTCCAAAAAAGAGGGTTCTGTGTTAGTCGTCTTTGAAAGTTTTCATACCTAGAAAAGAAAAAACATATTTATGCTTACAAGAAAACTGAAATGGAATCCTTCATATCTGCCAAATTACTTATCAAAAACCACAGGACTGTATATGTCATTTATAAAAAGCTAAGATGAAAAAGCAAAAACGATAATGTGGGAATTTAATCAGTCTTATAAAAAGGTAGCAAGCATAGTGATTTAACTATAAAGTAGTTTTGATTGGTTTATATCAGAGAGCACAAGTCATAATGTTGTTAGTTGCCATCTAGCCAGCTCTGAGTCACAGTGACCTTATGTGTAGTAGTTCTGCACCATCCAAAAATCATAATTTGTTTATCTTCAGCAAATTTGAGACCTAAGAAAAAAAAACAAATCTAACTCCTCCTCCTTCATATCTTCAATGAGCAGATTAATTTATTTGCTCAAGGCACAATCTGCATCGCACCAAAGCTCAAACCTAGTACATTCCAGTGCTCTCCATGCTACACCATGCTGCTACTTCTCAACAAACTCTCCCTATGTATTCCTCACCACTGGGATATTCAAAACAAAAAGAAATACCTATAAAACAGAAACATGACAAAGTTGGGGAAACAGATTAGTCATTTATGTACAGGGTGAAGTATAAACCATCCTGATACTATGTTTACTTTAGATCAAGGCTTTCTAAACTTAAAAAAAGTTTTGATTGATATTTCAAGTCTCATATATGGTACTTCTAATTCAAAATATACAAAAACGTATGATCCTTAATAGTGGTCCCTAAAACACAGGCAATTATATCTTCCCGTCTTTATAAATTCAAAATGGCTACTATACAACAGAGCATTTAGGGTAAGAACCTTCCCTGAACTGAATTCTATAGTACATACTTGAATGGCATGAAAATGTTAACATATGTTCATGTCCACAATAAAGGAATATGTTTACATACAAAACAAGACATACATTCACATATATATGTAGTTACTAAAAACCTTAATATTAGAATACAAAATACTCCATACCATTTCAGAACCACATTTGCCGGAATGAACATTTCAGATGGACTAGGTGTCATCTGGGCCTGAGAGACAGCAAATGATGAAGCAAAATTGTAGAAGTTGTCCAACATCTTTTGTGTGAACTGAAAAATTAAGAACAGACTAATGGATTATACTAAATACTCTATAGACCTTAATATTTTTAACTAAAAATATTCCCCCATTAACTTAGCTTTAAGGACCATAAGTTTTGAAACATTCTAATGCCGAAAGCTAAGGGTAGCCATAACTTCAAAGTATCTTCTTTCATGTCCACCACTGCATTCAGAACACCCTCCCCTCCTCAAACACCATTCACCCAAATCAACTTATTTCCTCATATAAAATAGTAATCATCTCTAAGAAGTCATTTTCTTGCCAGAAAGATAAAAATTCACATATAATAAAGAAGCAACTGCTTACTTGCTATCGAATGTAAAGAAGAAAATGGTTAACACTATTCCATGTCCTCTATTTCCTGGCCTGTTTCTTTTCATTGGCCCTCAAATACGTACCCACTAACATTTCCCAAGTTTCCTTGGTAGAAGTTAGAAGTAAATGTAATTCATAGTTACTAAAAATCAAGTGGGTTTAAGCACTAAACCCAAAAGTACATGAACTACTAAAGATAATACTACCTTCTATTCACTCAAAAATAATCTTCCCAACATCACTTCCTCAGAAATACAAAACCAGCCACAAAGGCTCCTGTTGTCTCTTTTCTACATGGCAGCATTGCCTTAATACTATGTTGTTTTATTTGTTTAATAATATGAAGGTAATATAACCCAAAAGAATCCATTACTGAATTAAATAGAGTTCAGTAAGGTTGCTATGATGGTTAATTTTATGTATCAACTTGGCTAGGCTATGGTCCAAGTAGTTTGGCCAAACACTAGACTAGCTGCGGTTCCATAATGTAATCTAATGCAATGTAATGTAATCATCTTCCATAATGTAATCTAATGTAATATAATCAACCAGCTGCAAGGGGAGTTCCTTAGGGTGTGGTCTGCCTGCAGACTAAAAATAGATTATTTTGGCAGAACTCACTTTCTCTCTCCATTCTGCACTCTTCCTGTTGCCTGATCTACAGATCTTGAGATGGAAGCCTGCAGGAGTCTCCAGCCTGCTCTGTGACCTATGGATTTTGGACTTGCCAGGCCCTCACAATCCCTTCAGCCAGCAGGAGTCGCCAGCCTATTGCCTGACCTGTAATCACATAAGCCAATCCCTTGACGTAAATCACTCTCTCTCTCTCTCTCTATATATATATATATATATACACACACACACACATAACACATTTATCTCCCTAGTTCTTTTTCTCTAGAGAATCTTAAGACAGTTGCAACTAAAAGATCAATATTGAAAAAGAATTAACAGCAATCTCCACACAAACAACCAAAATTAGAACATGTAACTTAAAAAATTTCCCATTCAGGGAGAAGAAAATGGAATGTGGCTAACTGCCTCCATGAACAACTGCCTCCTTTGCCACTGAGACCAGAACTGGATGGTGCCCACTAGCATTAATGAACATCTTGATCAAAGATTCTATAGAAGAATCCTGATCAAAAGGAGGGAAATGAAGAACAGAATTTAAAATTCTCATGGAATCCAGACTTTCTGGAGCCATCAAGGATGGATGAACCCCCAAAACTACTGCCCTGAGATAATCTTTAAACCTTAAAACAAAAATATCCCCTGAAGTCTTCTTTAAAACAAACAATAGTTTAGCTTAATTAGTAACAAATGTCTGCCTTGAGTACTGTGCTCTTTTAAGAACTATCTATATGGGATCAAACTGACAACAGCAACTCAAAAGATTAGATACGACACTTAGGGGTCAGTGAGTTTATGTTAATGGGAGAGGAACAATTTGGAAAAGGAGGGTGAGAATGGTTGCACAACTTGAAGAATGTAATTCAATGTCACTGAATTGTATGTGTAGAAATTGTTGAATTAGTTTTATGTTCTCCTGTGTATATTATCAAGTAAAACAAAAATAAATAAATTTTAAAATATATATAACCAATTAATAATATAAGCAAAGTCTGTAAGATACTCAGAAAAAAAGCTAACACAAGCTGATCATAAGAATTTTGTGGCAATTACAAACTTATATTGAAAAACAGGAAAGAAAACAAATAAAGGACACATATATTATGTTCAATGAAAAGATATACAGTGTCTTAGTTATCTAGTGCTACTGTATCTCCATGTGTCTTGGCATCTACCTCAATCCATCTCTCTCTACCTGTTTAATTTCTTTTTATATCTCGAAAGAGATTGACTCAAGATACACCCTACACTAACCCTGCCTCATTAACATAACAAAGACAACACATTCCCAAATGGGATTATAACCACAGGCATACAGGTTAGAATTTACAACACATATTTTTGGGGGATACAATTCAGTCCATAACATACAGGTAGTCCCTTGACTTACAACGGGGTTCCGTTCCAACCACTCCATCATAAGTCAGTTCTGACATAAGTCGAACACCTCATTTTTAGTTTTCATTATTACTGACTCTTATTATCAGTATCTTTATAAATCCAATCTGTATTTGTCTTTGGGGGCTGGAAACATTACATATAAACTTACAGATATATTTAATCCATACATACATAAAAAATACACAAATCATAAAAATTTACTCTGACAATAAAGAAGAGTTGGACAATGTTGGCATTCTGTCAGTTGCAGTAATCACGGCACTTGTGGAAGGTTCTGGATCATCTAGATTATCCCTGGGAACGGGGATGGCATTTCTACTCAGAAACTAAGTAAGAATTGTCTGTATGGTCCTTTTCTTCATATATTTTGCAGTAACATCTCACCGCTTCCTGGATCTGCCTATCAACTTCAGCAAAGCGATCAGTATGTTTAGGTCCGTGTCTTCAAGCAACTGAAGCCCCTGATTTAGTTTAGAAAACTAAATCTATACTGAAATATTTTGAAGAGTAATCATAAAACTGAAAATCTGGAGTGAACATCTGAGAATGATAACATCAGCAAATTACACGCTGCAACACTGCATTAGTACAGATTACTAACGATGAGATGTACCAAAAAAAAAAAGATGGTCATCAGTATGGTTCATCATCACTCGAATACATCGTAAGCTGGGGACTACCTGTACCATGTTCATGGATGGGAAGACTTAACGTGGTAATGATAGCATTTCTGCCCAAATTACATCTATAAACCCAATGTTATTTCCAACAAAATTTCAACAAAGTTTTTCGTGGAACTCAACAAGCTGATCCTATTTTATGAAGAATACCTAAGACGATTTTAATGACTAGAAGGAGCAAGCTGGTCTATCAGATATTAACAGACTTTTACCAGCAAACGGACAGGCAAATAAACTAATTGGAATAGAAAAGCATTCAGAAATAAACTTATGCCTATGTGACACATGATATATAACAAAGATGATATTACTCAGGAGAGAAAAATGGACTAAGTATTCAACTAATAGGACTAGAACAACTAGTTTTCCATTAGGGAAAATATGAATCTAGATCCCTTCCCATACCACAAGCAATTAAAGCTAAACAATTAAATTCTGACCAACTAAATCTAAATTCAAAAAGTAAAACTTTAAAGCATTAAGAACTATAAGAGAACATCTTCACATTATCAGGGTAGGGAAGGATTCTCAAAGTGTTTTCATTATCAGGGTAGGGAAGGATTCTCAAAAAAAACACAAATCTTAAAGGATATGTCATTAGGAAGGTGATTTTTAGTACATTCAGAGTTATGCAACCATCATCACCATCAATTTTAAAACATTTCATCACACCAAAACGAAACCCCATACTGATGAGCTATCACTCCCCATTCTCCTCAATACCATCCACTCCCTCCTCCGGCTCCTGGCAACCACTAATCTACCTTCTGTCTTTATAGATTTGTCTATTCTGAATATTTCATATAAATAGAATCATACAATATGGGGTCTTTTGTGACTGGATTCTTTCACGTAGCATAATGTTTCCAAGGTTAATCCATATTATAGTATGTATCAGTACTTCATTCCTTTTTATTGCCAAATAATATTCCATTGTATGGATACATCTTTTTATTTATCCATTCACTAGCTGATGGACACTGTGGTTGTTTCCACGTTTCGACTATTTTATTTAACTTTAATTAATTTAAATTTAAATAGCCACAAGTGGCCAGTCACTACCCGATAAATAAAAGCAGTTCCAGATATTCATTTGATATACGTAAAATACATAATGGTTTCAAGTCAACTGTAGATTACAGAATTTTCATCCATAAAGTTTTGAAGGGATTTAAAATATAAAAAGCACAGCTTTTCTCCAACTGATTTAAAATAAAATTTATTTACAAACAGACTCATCTTTTCAAGGAGAGATCAATACACTTTTGTCTAATAGGTTATAAAACAATTTTTTTAAATAATGAGATATTTTAGATTGGCTCCAGAGACACACTAAATGCGACAAGCAATAGAGTTGTAATACACAGATTGAAAGGTAAACGCTTATAGAATTATGTCACTTTAAGCTCCATGAACACAAGCATCTTGCCTATCGTGTTCACATTTGTTTAACCACCACCTAGCATACTATCTGTGAACGGGAAAAAGGAAAAGCTAATTTTTTTTTTTTTTTAAATTGTACTTCAGGTGAAGGCTTACAGAACAAATAGTTTCTCATGAAACAGTAGTACACATATTGTTTCATGACACTGGTTAACAACCCCACAACATGTCAACCCTCTCCCTTCTCGACCTTTTTTTTTTTTGGTGAAAATATACATAGCCAAAGATACACCATTTCAAAAATTTCTACATGCACAGTTCAGTGACATCGACTACGCTCTTCCAGTTGTGCTGCTATTCTCACTTTAGATGAAGGCTTACAGAACAAAACAGTTTCTCATTTAACAGTACACATGTTGCCCTATGGCAATGGTTAACAACCTCACAACACATCAACCCTATCCTTACTCAGCCTTGGGTTCCCTATCACCAGCTTCCTTGTCCCCTTCTGCCTTCTGGCCCTTGTTCCTGGACTGCTGTACCTCATTAGTCCCATTTGGTTTTATGGGGCTCTCCACTCGAAAAGCTAATATTTGAACCCATTTTTTAAAATCACATTGAGATATTTTATAACTATAAAGACATTCTCAAAATATTTATAACTTTTAAAATGCCTATATAAAAAGCAGATTAACTTCAAATATCCATGGAAACTGATAACTTAAGTCATGTATGTTTCTTTTCATTTTTACATGTTTTCAACTACCAGGCTTATTTTTAACGTACAGAATATGATTTGTTACTTCTTTTAGAAAATAATGAAGTGTGCACTGTTATTACCTGAGTGAATGAATCAACTGAGGATACAGCAGCATTTCCTACAGGAGTCTGCTGAGCTAGACTGTCCAGTAATTCCACTGAAATTCCAATCTGAGCGACAGATGGAGTCCGGACAATATTCATGGCTCCAAAAGGGTGCTGACTTCCTTCACCTGAAAGAAATGAACATACATCACATATTTCAAATGTAACTCATATTGATACAATTTCTTTGTAAATATGTGAAGAACCTATGGTCTATATGCCCTAAAAAGGTCTGTTATGTGCAACTTTGTCTCTTTTCAAATAAATGTAAAAGGCTACTTAGTTTTAAGCAAATTAACAAAAAAAATGAAAACTAAATTTCCTCACAAGAAAAATTAGCTGTTACTTCTCTAAAAATTAATAAAATTACTGCAGCTAAAAATGGACATTCACAGAATGAGAGAAAAATAAGCAAATGAGAATTAATTAGGTAAAAAACTCTCAATACTAACTATGAGAGAAGAATAGTTTATAAAGATTTTTAGAACAAATTTTAATGACTATGTATTCCACTAAAAAAAAAAAGTTATATTGCCATTGTCACCAATAAACTACACTGCATATTTACTGTCATGGATTATACAAGTCAATACTTGATGATCTGTTATCAAATAGACAATAATGAAATTTGCAGCTTACTCAAGAAATTAAGTAATCACTTTTCCCTTTTATACACAAATATATCTTTAAGTATACATCTGAACTACCTCTAAGTACCAGCTAACTTATAATTAGGAAATTTTGGCCAATTTCATTAATCCACATAAGACACAATCAGAAAAGTTAGTCTGCTCAATTAGGTAGAAGGCATGTGTTAATAGTGGTGAAGGGAAAGGCAATATATAACATGAGGGAAGTCAGCACAACATGACTGAGGCAAGAGAGGGCACTGAGAGGAACACAAGAATAAAGGGCAACTATAAGGTTGCTATGAGTCGGAACTGACTCGTTGGCAACAGGTTTGGTTTGGTTTTGGTATGGTAACTACTGCAGCCCTGCTGGCGTAGTGGTTAAGAGCTCGGCTGCTAACCAAAAGGTTGGCAGTTTGAATCCACCAGCTGCTCCCTGGAAACCCTATGTGGCAGTTTTACTCTGGCCTATAGGGTCACTATGAGTTGGAATCGACTTGACAGCAATGAGCATGGTAACTACTATAGCTTAGACAATCCTGCAACAATAGTATTAATGATAATTTATGAATGGATAAATAAGTAGATAGATACATGAAGAGTTGTTGGGGGAGGGCAAAAGGGAATACACCCACCAGTAAATACGGGTTTGGTGGTGGACATTTCTACGTACATGACTATAGGTGTGGCTCATATAAACAAAGACAAGGGGTACAGTCAGGAAAACCTCTTAGACATAACCAAACACCTAGCAGGATGAAGTTCCTAAACTAGAAGACAAAGGACCACAAATTCAGGGGACATCTATGTCAATTGGCACAACATAGTTCATAATTTCTGCATCCTACTTTGGTGAGCAGTGTCTGGGGTCTTAAAAGTTTGTGAGTGGCCATCTAAGATACAACTATTGGTCTCTTACTGCCTGGAGCAAAGGGGAATTAAGAAAACCAAAGACCCAAGGGAGTAATTAGTCCGAAGGAATAATGGATCACATGAACCATTGCTTACACGACCCCGACACCAGAAGAACTAGATGGTGCCCAGCTATCACTACCGACCACTGGGACTGGGATCACGATAGAGGGTTGGACAGAGCAGGAGAAAAACTGCAAAACAAAAAAATCAAATTCACAAAAAACACCAGACTTACTGGTCTAACAAGAGACTGGAGGAACCCTTGAAACTATGGCTCTAAGAACCTCTTCTGACCTGGAACTGAAGCCATTCCCAGAGACCATCTCCCAGCCAAACAATAGACAAGCCCATAAGATAAACAATAACACTCAAGATGACCACATTCTTTAGAACAATTAATTATAGAAGATCAAAAGGGCAGTATCTACCCAAAAGCAAAGATGAGAGGGCAGGAAGAGGTAGACAATCAGGACTAAAGGAAACAGGGAACCCAGGGCAGAAATGGGGAGAGTGCTGACACATTGTGGGGAATGAAACCAAGGTCAAGAAATACTTTTTGTAAAAACTATCAAATGGGAAACTAATTTTCTCTGTAAACTTTCACCCAATGCATACACACACAAAAAAAATGTTAGTCTGATGAAAGAAAAAAAAAAATACAATAAGTAAGTTTTTAGACTATCTGCTATTTTTATGACTATGAAATGTTAAATCAAATATTGAAGAAAAAAAAATCTGGCACAACGTACATTCCTAAAAACTAGAATACTCATTGCAAGTATGAAAACTCAAATTTTCAAGCATATGAATAAATTATAAATTTTTTTTCTATGCTTTAAAAATACAAACATACAGTTGTCCCTTGGTATGTGTAGAGGATTGGTTCCAGGACCCTCCCCCCGCCCCAACACCAAAATCCACAGATACTCAAGTCCTTTATATAAAATGGCATAGTATTTGATATAACCTTATACTTTAAATCATCTCTAAATTACTTATAATTCCTAATACAATGTAAATGCTATGTAAATAGCTGTTACACTGTATTGTTTAGAGAATGACAAGACATGAGGTGAACAATGCTCCAACAACGAGTGCTAGAGACTGAAGATTTGTGAAATGGAGGGAGGCTACAGCAGGATATGCCTACACATCATTTCATTTGCATGGATTCAACATAGCACATGGTGCACAGCAAATTCAAATTTTACTCTTAGGATAGTCCTTTTTTTTTAAAAAAATATTTTCGAGCCGCAGTTAGTTGAATCTGTGGATGCAGAACTCGCAGATACGAGGGACCGACTGTAAATATCTCTCAGTAAACATAACTTAGTTTAAGGGGTTTTTGTTTTTTAATTCAAATTTCCTTCAGTTATTTCTAATTTCATTCAATTCTGCTCTAAAAACATACTTTGATTTCAATCTTTTCAAATTTACTGAAACTTGTTTTGTGGGCTAACATATGGTCTATGCAGGAAAATGTTGCATGTGTACTTGAGAAAATGATGATTTTGACAGTTTTTTCATTGCTTTTATGAAGGGATGGTCTTTTGGAGTTCCTTACACCACCATTTTCACTGATGCCCTAATTATCTGTTTTAAACCTAGAATTATGCTAAGTACGGAAAATGTACTGCTGTTTGCCTAACAAGCTCCAATGATGCCAATCAAGAAAGAGGATCAATACAATCATCTACTGCCTTATTTATAATGACCCAAGAAATAATCTGCCCAAGCAGAAAGCCTTGTCATCTCTGACCTCCATCTTTTATCACATACAAACTTTGGCAAATGAGGAAGGCCCTAAGTAAAACTAAGACCCATTGTAAGAGATGGAACTAAGGAAACAATCAATTCTGACTTTTCCCTCGTTTTAAAGCTCTCTACAACTAGGACAACTTAAGGGGGAAAATACTTAAAAGTCTTCAGCAATCTTTAATCTATATTTCAAAGAGATCTACTCTGTGAATGAATTATTCATTTAATCCATCTTATTATTAAAATGGACTTGAGATAGTAGTTTATGCCCCCCGAAGTACAAAGGACCTTGTTTACAAACCATAAAATACTAGAAAGAAACACTGAAACACAATACACAGACTTAACACATTTAGTGTTTAATTTTGGATCAGAATTCATGATAGCTAAAGTAAAAAGAAAAACATGATCAGTTACATGGAGACTTACTGTCAAAAAACAAAAGCAAAAACAGGGGAAGCAAAACTTCTGACATGGTCTTAAAAAAAAAAATAGATAAAGTTCTCAACATTTCTCATAGAAATGCAGCAGCTAATTTTTTAAAGCTGTTTCTCGAAGTGTCCCTCCTCAATGTAAGTCAAGGGTCTGACACAAAGGACAACTCAAGAGAAAGAAATGCCAGAGAAAACTAGTCCTATATCAGCATATAAAGAAAAGATGTCATCACCATTTGTCATACGTATATATTTTTAAAATGTATATATTTTTAAGTCAGTTTATACAAATTTACAGGAGAATAAGGAGATAGAGAAAAACAACTTTATCAGAATTTTCATTAAGTATTTAAATACAGCAAACCCAAACATTCATTCCACATATTCCTCATTTTAAAGTTATATAAAGCCAAAATGGGCCAATTCCTCTGAATACAACTGCTTATCAACTGCCATGGATAAACGTGTAACATATGCATTTATAAATCTGACTTCTGATATTAAACACAACTCTAATAAGTTCCAGCTTATTGTTACTTCTTGTTCTTTTCTGGCATTTGCACTGTCAAAATGCAATACCTGAAAAATTTTCTGAAACCTGTGATGGCTCATGATTTATTAAAGAGAGGACAGCCATCTTCTTTGATTCATAATTTGCAAAACATTCTAATTTTTAGATGGACAAATGTAATTTAGAATGATCAGGGAAATTTTTTATTTTATTGTCTTCCAATCACCTTTGTATACACACCCCCTTTCAGTGTCTGTCTACTTACAAACTGTATTTTGGCCAATTTTGGTGCACATACATAGTTAAGAGATGAAAGAATACCAGCACACATTCTTTTACCACATGTCCACAATGTCACAAAATACGGTGTGATAAATTCCTTCTTGTTCAATAACTAACTGGGTAAGAATACCATATTTTCTTTTGGTCCTTAGAAAGATTCTGTCCAATCATCGATTTGTTAGTTTGAAAAAAATTCATCTGAGAGATCATCATCTGAAGATTCATAGTCTGATATTCTGCTTATATAATCATCTTCACCATCATTATTAAAGTCTAAAATGCTACCTACCTTTTTGTATTCATTTACTGATTCATCTAGTAATTGTGAAACTTCTTCCTCTGTTGATTTTCTTCTCTGTCATTATGAACAAAAACTACAAAATTCTGAATTCCCAATTCTGTTCAATAAAAGCATACAGCAGACTATGAAGATGTCTTCAGTCTCCTTTTACACTTCTTGAAAGATAACACAATACTTTAGGCAATGAAATAAGAAAATCAAAGGATAACGCCATGGTGATGATTTTCACTACTGCGTCAACCTCTAGGCCAAGGGTTGGCAAACTAAGGTCCGCAGGCCAAATTAGGCCCCCAGCCTG